ATGGTATGGCTATCATAGTGTTGAACGACCCTATCGAAAGACAGTGACCGATCTCACTTGTTAAGATTGTTTTGTGACAACCTGGTGCAACACATAGGTGCTTGTTGTAGGCAGGTTCACTGGACTGACCCACCAGAGGATTCCATATGGATGGTAACCCTAGTGTCTATGGAACAAATCCTTTAACGAATGGTGGTGTATGTGATCCTTAGACTTGAGATCACCAAAGCGTCTTGTGCACTGATTGGTGTAGTTTGACACTAGCCCAACGCAGTTTTATTCAGAGTTGTCAATACGGTAGTGATTGACTGCATCAAGGAGTTTATCAAAACTATAGTGGATCAACAGAGGATTTATCACTCCCGGGTACGGGGGGAAGTTATCTCATGGTGTAATTCAGTAAATGACAATGACACTAAAACTGTGGCCACAATGGGATTGAGTTGTTGCTCGATCCAGTTTATAATTCAGGTCATTGGTCTAGTAACTGAATACATACATATCGAGAGTAACTGAGGTTGACACTATTTCTATGCCTTGGTCTCATTAAGATAACTGATGATGAAAGGATTGGATTATACGGTAGCCATATCGTTGACAGGTAGCTGCTTCGCTGAATCTGAATCTATCGGTAGCCATGATGCCTTGCTAGGGGTCAATCTTGGTCTGTGTGTAGTGAGGCGATTAATTGGTGTTAATCGCGATACTACACAGTACCGATATGATAAGGAGCCTACAGATCACACATATAGAAGATAATTTAAGAACCAGTTTATAAGAAGGGCGTTTTTCGTCTTTTTAGGCGAAAGAGTATTTTGATAATCTCACAGTGTAATTAAATTTGCTGAGGTCGTAGCCTTTATTTAATTTATTATGAAAATTAAATAAGTGAGATTATATTTAAATATGTGTTCGCATATATTTAAATGAATTATTTTTATTGTTAAATGATAATATATGGTATATATATTAATTGAATTGAATTGAATTGAAATAATAATTAAAATATCTAAATGGGGCTGTTTGAACATAGGGATTGTTTAGGTTGGTGCCCCAGCGTATTCCATGATGGAATAGGGCATTGTGTGCACTATATAAGTGTAGGATTTTTGTTAAATGAGATAATCATTCATTCAATCATTTTGACAAAAAATCCAGCCCCCTTTCTCTCTTCCACGCCACTTCACATTTGCATGAAACAAAATATTACTTGATTTTATTCTTGGTTCTTAAGGCCAATGAGGATCTAGCAAATCCCTCTTTAGTTCATTGGGTTATCTTCGTGTGGACTACCGGTGGTTCGATCCTACCTTTGATTGGTAGCAAAACCCATTCAGAGATAAGTTAGAGGAGCCTCCAAATGTGCGTATGGTTTCTTAACTCTAAACTGATTTTTTTTTTTGTAGATTCGTATTTAATGCATAAACTGAAATTTGTGCCCTGATCTTGGTTCTAAGGAACAATCTATGTTGTATATTATTTTGTTTTCTGCTGCCATGACTTGATCTTTTCCTAACAGGACCTTCTTTGGGACATTGACCAACCCATTGAAACGTACTTTCCTTGCCTTGGGGAGGTAGTACGTCTGGCCTTGCCCCTTTTTGAGCCTATACAAGTGGAAAAATTCTTCGACAAATGGCTTGCCTAGCTTAGTAATCATGTACGCGATGTATAGCCCGATAATGATCAAGTAAGAGTTGGCTGTTAGTTGGAGAGGAGCGATGTTGAATCGCCTCAATACTTTATCGATGAAAGGGTGTGGGGCAATGGATACCTTGCACTGGAAGAGAGTCTCGGAAATTGCCACCCATTCGACGGGAGGGTTCTTTCGAGAATGTTCTCTTGGGACCATCAGGTTGAGCTACGACGCGTAGGTCGCCCTGATGCGTTCAAGATCCCCGAGGGTGATCAAGGATTGTGGCTCTTTTCATAGCCTATGACTGGAGACGACGGGGAATGAGCCAGTTGGATCGAAGCACGGTCAGACAAGCCCGTAACATCGGGGTCTAAGCTTCTGGCGACAAACTCTTCTGATATCTCAGGGGACACATCCCCTAGTACTGTCGAGCCAACTGGTGAATCGAACATTCAATCTATTGTGCGATTGCTAGACGAGGACATGGTTGTAACTCGACTCCGGGTACCTGAAAAAAGAAGTGAACATGTGTTAGAGCTTGAACAACTCGGCGATGATTCCACATTTGCTTCTATCTCAGGCACCCGAAACAGCTCGCGCAACACAATGAAGTCACACGACCTACCCAGGACACCAGCGATCACCGTGATTAAACCCCTTTAAAACCCGAGACAGTTGGAAATGCACCCTAAAAGCCCTACTAAAACCTTAAAACATCCAATGTGGCCACTACAGCAGCCACCTTTTAGCACAAAAGTAAAAAAAATAAGCAAGGAAGAGAAAGAAGTCTTACCGGAATAAAGAAGAGCATTGAAAACTCGTACGAAAGACCACCGTGATGACATAAAAGCAACGACAAAGAAAAGAAAAAGGGTGGAAGAACTTTTAAAGTGGCTATTCTGACGATATTCGCCACCTTTTATAGTGATTTTTACATGGAAGACGAAACGGCAGAGTTCAATCTCGACCATCGACTTACAACTGATCCTAACCCTTCGTTCGTTGAGTAATCTCAGCCCTTAGACATGGCCACGTGTCGACCATTCATAAGGTGCAACGAACCATTGGATTGATTACAATGATAACCGTCGCTGCGCGGCGCCTCAACTTTGCGCGTGAACAGCTGTTATTACCCACGCGCGATGAAATGTAACTAACAAAGGTTGTTCCATTATATGCGACACGACCATGCAAAAATTACATTTATACCCTAACTTTTTATATTCTGAGTTTTGACAGGTGGCATAGGTAATAATGTCCAAGTGTGAAGAACGTCAACTAGACGTAAGGTCAGTCATGGAAGCCCGATCGAGCATGCACTCAGAGACTCACTGTTGAAGCCGAGCTTGGCATCAAATCGAGTTATAGTTTTCGAAGGCTGGAACGAGCATCGAACACTAGGGGGCAAGTATTGTGTGTGGTTTCTCTGCCAAGCTCGGGCTAACGCGAGAATATAGCTCGACCCAGAATGATCTCGGCAATTGTGATTGAACGACCCAGCATAAGCTCATTGAGCCATAGCTCGATCCAGCACAAGCTAGTTGCAGACAATCCAAGGAATTAATCAATCATCAACCCCCAAATTACTTCAAATCCCGGATATCGCGGGTGTGACTGGGTCAACAGTTGTCGTTGTGCGATCATAGCGCCCAATTGCAGAGATATCAGAATTATGATTCAAACCATTTGTAATCCCCTTAATTTCGCTATTTCCTTTATGTAAATCTTGTATATAAACTCTCTAAAACGATGAGGAGGGGGATACGAATTGTGGATTGAAACTACATTGTAAGCTCTCACAACATATACAAAAAACACAGTGAACGTAGGCTGTTAACTTCGCCGAACAACTTTAAAAGTTCTCTTTGTCATTTATTTCTGGCGTTATCATTCACTCATTGCTGATTACCTGTAATCATGCACACTTCAATTTTGATTCCGACAAGGTCGATCAGATCTCGCTAGTTGGTGTAGAATTCTGTATCAAGGCGTTATCATTCACTCATTGCTGATTACTCGCAATTATGCACACATCAGTTCCGATCCCGACAAGGTTGATCGGATCTCGTTGGTTGGTGTAAAATTATGTATCAGCAAAAAAGAATAGATAATATTGAAGATTTTATACATATGCAAGTATAAGTGCAGTATAATGAAATAATAAGGGAGGCTAAATAAAAATTAGTCGGAAAATGGCTTAAATGATTATTAATTCAATAATATTATAGTTTGGAATTTAATCTCCCAATTTTACATATCTAAATAATATGACAATTATTTCTATGTTATTATATCATTTATCGTATTATTTCATCGTTTTAAGTGTTGTAACATTCTAGGTTTAATTTATTAATTTTATTGAACGTATAATAGACTATAATTTTATTTATGTTAATTAAATATTATTTCCCCGTTGCATCGCAATCTCATCAAATTAAAAAATTTAATAATTTTAAATCAAAGTACTTAAATGGTTGAGATTATATTATAAATTATTTGATTTTATAATACATGCTACAAGTGGGTGAAGTTGAAATTTAGAAAGTTAATTGAACATTGTCCAATAGTGTCATGAAATGGACATCACTATTTTGTTAGTGAATTGTTTAAGCATGGTAGTTATCATGGTGGATGTACAGAATTCAAGACAAAAATAGGTATGACTTATGAGCACATCTTTTTATCATTTGGAATATATATTGTAAAAGTCTAATAAAACAAATATTGTTCAGTCACAATTACTTCTAATATATATATATATTTGCCCTATTTGGGAGGAAGAGTTGCAGTTCTCATCAAACAATGAGCAATGAAACATCCCCCACCCAAGTAAGAAACCAGATTATTCTGATCTCTTTCTTCCATATATATATATTTGCCCTATTTGGGAGGAAGAGCTGCAGTTTTCATCAAACAATGAGCAATTAAACTTCCCCCACCCAAGTAAGAAACCAGATTATTCTGATCTATATTTATTTATTTATTTAAATTCATGTGGACTATAAACCAAGTTGCTGTTAAATTGATTCTAAAATTCTGCCAGGCAGCTGCAGAAATAGCTGGAGTAGAGCATAAAGAGTGGGTTCATAAGATTAGGTTACAGTGGGGAATCAGTCAAAAGAGAGATGGAATAAAATACCAAAGTTAAAGGCTCTCCCTATTATAACACAAGGCTGCGCCTATGAAAGCAAACAACATAGTATTTTCAGATAGCATCAATAAGCATATTTGTCATATTTGAAAATGAGAAGGATGTCAAAGCAATTACATTATCCAAAAAATAACATCTGAAATTAATTCACTTGTTATATCATCTGAAATTGCATGTAGATTCAATAAAACAACAAAACAAATGCTAGCAATGTAATACAACAGACTCCAAACAATCGGTTTTAGTAAAGAGAGAACCGCGTGTTCTACAAAGTTAAGTAAATATGCTGGGTAGAAAGAATTGAACAAGATTGCAGAGCATTACGGAACTGGATATCAAAAGAGAAACAAAATCTCAGTATTTATTTGAGTCAAATAAACAATTCGCATTGTCAACAGTAATGTTTAATGTCTACCCAGCTTATGCTCAAAAACCCCATAAAATCTAATGTCACATACGCAGCAAAATCTGACACTTTGTTGCTGATGCAGAGGAAGGACGAAATTGAAAGCAAAACCACACTACTTAGCAAACAAAATCACAGAATCGATGTTGGCTGACTACAAGAGTACGAGCCCAAGTTCTGATGATTTCAAGGCCTTTCGCAACCGATAATTATAAAGATAATAGTGAAGTTGCCCATCACCTGGCCCAAATTTCAGTTCTTTCAGGAAATTTTCATTCTGCATAACATCCAAGGCATTGAAGACATCAAAATCCTTCTGTTTGGCAACAATAAGGGCATCGTTCATCAACTGAAGCAATGGAGTCTTTGTAAACACATTATAGTATGAATAAGCAGCTTTCAAAGTTGAATACGTTTGATTCCCAAGTATAGAGGAAGGAAGAGTGTAGAAGCTGCAGAAATCAGTTATCTCATGAGTCTCTGGGCTCTCAACCAAGTAACTATCCACCACATCCTCAGTGGGAAGAAGCCAGTGCTCAACATCATTCTCATCAAAATCTGGTGCAACAGCAAACTGGCTCAAATAATTTCTAAGCAACCGAGTAACAGCAGGTACATCACAAAGCTCCATTTTTCTGAATCCAGGGGTAGCCGGAGAATCTGGTAACTTGTAAAGCTTTATGGTTCGGCTCATTGTCATCCTCGCCCCAAGCCTCGAAAAACCAACATCAATAAGTTTCTTGGGGTTCAAAGACCTATGCCAATACTGGCAAGTTGTTATAGGTGTTGGAAGAACCACTCCAGCAGTATAAGCCGCCTGCCAAATATTCTCCAAGTGAACCCTTCTAGTAACCTCCTTAATCATTACAGGAGCCAGTCTCTTAGACCTAAGCTTCTTATGAACACACAAGAAATTGATCTCTGCCATTTTCACAACTTCATCACGTACCCTGATTCTTGCAGGGACACCAGTAATGAAAGCAACAAGCTTCTTGGAAGCTTTAGCACGAACACCAATGTGCCAGCTGGTATAATAACCAGGTGGGCGTAGCGCCCACCTCAGAAACTCCTTGGAGTAATTAAACCTAAACATATTCTCATCATCCTCAACATAATTATTCTTCAAGAGATTGTAAACCTCAGTACAAGTCTCTTCCGAATCCATATCACAAGTCGTCCACTCATACTGACTCGGAAGATTATACGGTTCTTGTTTAACCTCGGACAACAGGGTTGGAGGCTCAATAGGACCCTCTGGCAAGCTACTATCCCCAACATCCTTAAATTGACCTACGGGTTGGGTCTCCCAAAATTTGTGTTTCTTGCTCATCGACATCGAGTCCTGAAACTTCCTAACTATGGTCTCCAATGCACTATCATCTTTAGCAACCGGGTTTGAGTCCGAATTTTGATCCGGGTTCTCTTTTGGAGAGTCAGGTGGTGAGTTGTTGTCCCCCATATCTAAAATAAATCAATTATAGAAACAATCTTTTATCTCTTACCAACAAACACAACTCCCCTGAGCAATAAACAAATAAAATATAAATCAATACAAACACAAATCTAACTCACAAAACATCACATAAATTGTTTGAATTTCTATTTCCCTAAAAAAACAAACCAAAATTCGATTGCAAAGGAAATAGAAAGAACGGATCTATACAATTAAACTCACTGGTTCAGTGGACGGCCGAGATTGTTGAAGAGAGGGGAGAATCAGATCCTTCAACGCCCAGTTGAGTTGGGTTTAAACTGCAGCAAAACAAAAAATGATTAAAACCTAATCAGATTAATTAAATAAGAGGAGATTATTGAATCCACTAACTTTAAAAAATGACAAAGAGAATCCAAATAGAAAAATTAAGCGGCGGATAGATGGATGGATGGATACCGCGTAATAAGCGAAGACGGAGAGAGAGAGAGAGAGAGAGAGAGAAAGGAGGAGAAGATGAAGAGAAGAGAACGAGAGTTTCGTTGATTCCGATGAAATTAGACGACGAGTTAGTGAAGACTGCGAGGGTAAGGGTTCCTTCTCCTCCTCTTCAAAGGATTTTATGTTTTTACGTTTTTACCCTTGGACCCGAGTTACCCGGTTCAGGGTCCAAGTCGAAATCTCGTGGGCCTGGCCTAAAATAAAGTCTCCTGTTAATGTTCTCGATTAGTTAAAAATTAATCATTTTATTTTATTTTTCATTAATTAAAAATTATTTATTTAACTTATTTTAAATTAAATGTATCGTATTTAATAATATTTTATTAGATGTTTATTTTATTTTACATTCATACAGAAATCAGATGGTTTATAAAATAGATATTATTAAAATGCAATATAATTGAATGAGAATGACCATATAAATATAAATGACTTGACCGAGGACATACCCCAAAAGGGTCTAGAGGGGGATAGTCATTGGCGACCCTATTAATTTTTTTAAAATTAATTTTCCTTTAATTTGTCTAATTTAATTTGTTGTAATTAATTTTCTATTACTTTATATTGAATTTGCCTCCTCTAATATTGCATCTTGGATCCGCCCCTGAATGTGATATGTTCACTCATTTCTAAAGTTTTTGTTTTGTAGATTTTTTCAAATATTTATACAAAAAAGAAAAAAAAAAAGAATATAAATCAAATCATTGAAAATAGTAAATATATGGAAAACGTGGTATGATATTATCTTCATACAATGTACTGATTTATATGGGATTACTGAGCCTAAAAAGTGAGATTCCGAGATGGAAAATCTCTCTTTTTCTTTTTCTTTATTTATTTTTCTCTATGTTATTTGTTTTCTTTTATTTTAACAAAATCATTATTGGTTTAAAATTATATAATACATATGGCATTTATTAATTCCCCTTGTATAATTCAACAATAATTCCATGAAATGACTTGAAAAATCATATATTAGTGAGCTAAGCCTATATTCATTGAGCTAAGGCACTGGACCGTGGATCATTTATTTCGTTATTGAGTCTGACAAGGTTAAGTATGATTTTTGGTTTATACAATTATTGATTTGGATTCTTTGTCTATTTTTGTGTTATTAATATGTCATATATACACTACATACAGAACAACTATCTTTTTTCTTCAATAGCCAAATAAACTTGGCCGCGTTAATCCACACATACAAATCTGTTAAATTATGAAGAGAAAAAGCAATGATGATTCCTAGAAAAAGTTTAGAATAAATAACGAAAAATTGAGAAATTTTTCTATTTCTTAAAAGAATACAGAATACATATATTTGAAGAATTGTATCTTTGCATTCATTTGAATTAAATATTTTATTTTTGCTTTTTGCTTTTTGCATTTATTGGATTTCTGTATTCTTTTGCTTTGGCTTTTACTTTGTCCGACGGCAAAAATGAAATTGCCACTATTTAAATGCAGTTTGATGGGTAATGCCAACTACAACAATGCTACAGACACTAGCATTTTTATACCAAAATTTTATATCGATTTACGTGTATACTGACTCAGACCAATCAATGCATTTTACATTATTAAATTTTTTCTGATGAACGGCCGTCTATAACATATGGACGCCCATTCACTAACATGGATTCTCGTCCATATTATATGGACGGGAGTCCATTTACTACGGACGGACGTCCTCATTTAAAGGACGCCCGTCTATTGGTAAATCAAATAAAAAATATAAAAATTTTAAAAAAATCTAGAATGGACGCCCATCCATTGTGTAAGGACGGTCGTCCGTATGTAATGGACGGCCGTCCATTAAGAATGGATGGTCGTCCATTAAGTATGGACGGCCGTCCATATTATTCCTTTTTTTTTTTTCTTTTTTTTTCTAAAAACTAGTAAGGAAGTATGAAGATCACGTGGAAAATTTTCCAACCAAGGATCCTGCTATAGCATTCTCCAGTCAGAAGGCTATCCAGGTTGAAGAACCAGAGCCACTGGTAGATCTTAATTTAGGTGCTTCTGGCTCTGCTTTTATCAGAGAGAGCTTCATGGTACCTGTTATAGTGGCCTCCAGAGGCCATGACGTTTACTCTGCTGAGTTGAAGGAATAAGTGCCATTGTAATAAGCCATCGCTTTATGCTGCCTTTTCGCCGGGACCCCTTGTTACTCTCAAGGATCAAGCCGGTCCATGGTTTTGAGCAATCGGCATCACTGCCCCTGAATGAAACTATTTTGGTCATTGTTTCTGCCAAGAACTGCACTCAGGTCCCATTGCAATTACAATCCATGTCTATTGGCAATGAGGACGGCGAGAGTGTAAGTCCATGTCCTGTACAAGATGGTGGCAAAGACTTTTTAAACCCAGCCCTTCTAGTGATGAGTTCGAAAGTGAAGGGCTCCAGGGAAATTTCAATGTCGTCGTCGGGCTTGGAGAGAACCAACTTCTTGGATTCAAAGAAGTACATGGCGAAAACTTCAACTCCTTCAATGGAAATGGGGCTCTTCCCACTGTTGGTGATAGTTGTAGAAGAAGGAAAATTTTACAGAGAGAAAGCAAAGGATTCCTTCAAGAAATTTAGTAGCAAGAAAAGTGTTCCACATGAAAATAAAACCATACATTCCCGATTTCAAGCTGGCTTTCAAGCATTTCTGCATTCACGCTGGAGGGAGAGCGACGTTAGATGAACTAGAGAAGAACCTTGAGCTGAGTGAATGGCATATAGAGCCTTCAAGAATGACCCTTTACAGGTTTGGGATGACTACGTTGGTTACCTTCAAGAATGGACCCTTTACAGTAGAATGAAATAAAAAAATATAAATAAAATGAAACCAAGGAAAGATGAAGATCCATGACTACGTCGGCAATGGTTGGGTCCTTCTCTTCTCTCACCCTGGTTGGTTACCTTTTGTTTTGCTTTTAATATTGGTTTCATTTGGTGTTCTCTTGATGTTGATTGCATAAAATTTCCATGCATGCAGGTGATTTCACACCTGTGTGTACAACTAAACTTTCTAAAATGGCCCAGTACATTCCGGAGTTTGAAAAGAGAGGGGGTGAAACTTCTGGGTTTGTCTTGTGACGATGTGCAGTCCCACAATGAAAAAGATAATTCCATTATGATGGACAACTGTAACTGTTGATGATCACGAAATGGGAAAGAAAGATGAAAAAGATTTGATGGAGGGATTCAACGAAGAAGCCATGGAAGGTCATGAAGAAGAAGAAGAAGTGGGGTACGTCCAAATTGTTTTGTTTTTAAAAAAAAAAAAACAATGGACGCCCATCCAAAGCTTATGGACGGGCGTCCATCTTTATGGACGGCCGTCCATATTAACTGGACACCCGTCCATTGTTTTTTTTTTTTTTAAAACAAAACATTTTTTTATGGACAGTCGTCCATTCCACTATGAACGACCGTCCAGGATGTATGGACGGCCGTCCTAAATCGTTGGACGGCCATCCATTTATGTCAGATTCAATCGTCCAACGTGGCATCCTTCACGTGTTTCGGTGTCATTTTTTGGTACAATTTTTTGGTGAATATAGCATTTTTCTGCCAGCTTTTAATTGAAGCAGCAATGCTACATACATCGGTGTTTTTACACCGAAATTTTGTATCGGCTTACGTGTGTGCTGAGTCAGACCATTCAACGCATTTGCGCATTTCTAAATTTTGTCTAATGAACGGCCGTCCATTACATATGGACGGCCGTTCACTAATATGGACGCCCGTCCATATTATATGGACAGGAGTCCATTTACTATGGATATGCGTCCTGATTTGGAGGACGCCCGTCCATTTCTAAATGAAATTTTTTTTTTTAAAAAATTAGGGACGGCCGTTCATAGGTTATGCGTTCATATGTTAATGGACGCCCGTCCAAAAATTTTGGACGGGCGTCCATTAAATAAGGGATGCCCGTCCAATATGTAAAATATAAAAATTTTTAAAAAATCTTGGACGCCCATCCACAATTTGGTTTAAAAATGTAAAAAAAAAATATTTGGACGCCTGTCCATAATTTGGTTTAAAAATGTAAAAAAAAATATTTGGACGCCCGTCCATAAGGAATGGACGGGCGTCTCTTATTTATGGATGGCCGTCCATTCCTAAGGGACGCCCGTCCTAAAATAAGGGACGACCGAATGGAAGGGACGCCCGTCCATTCATTATGGACGACCGTCCATTCGGTCGTCCCTTATTTTAGGACGGGCGTCCCTAGTCTAAATAAAAAAAAATTGTGAATTAAAAATGTTTAGGGTTAAAAATTTTGGGAAAAGCGTTTAAAAACAAAACAAAAACGGTAGCCGCGGTTTTCTTCTTCTTCTTTCTTCCATCTGCGCTATGGGTTATCGTGTTCTTCATCTCATCTGCGCGATCTGGTTCATCGTCTTCCTCATCTGAAAAAACAAATCAGCCGCGGTAATACGACACTTTCGTTTTTCAATTTTTTTTAAATTTTTTTTTTTTTTTTATGTTGGATGAATGTGTTGGATTTACATTTGTGTTGAATGGAGTTGATTTGATAAACAGAAATCCAGTCAATTTGGTCGGACTGGTTTGTGTGATTGACAAATATAAGTGTTATATGATGCTGTTTTCTTTGGTAGTTCTTCATCTGCATGTGTAATTTGTGTTTTCCAATTTTTATTTGAATGGGATTTCTTTGGTGATGTGTTATATGATGCATGCAATGATGGCTTGGATTCCATGTGTTTATGAATTTTATGTCGACCGAAATTATACATGTAGTGGTGGCTGGTTTTATATGCGTTTATGGGTTGCATTTTTGTTGAATAAAAGCATGAATTGGAGGCTGGAATTACATGGTTTTGGATTGCATTTTTGGCCAAATTACATCGTTATGATTTTTTTTTTTTTTTTATTACGGACGGGCGTCCTCATTTAAAGGACGTCCGTCTATTGGTAAATCAAATAAAAAATATAAAATTTTAAAAAATCTAGAATGGACGCCCATCCATTGTGTAAGGACGGTCGTCCGTATGTAATGGACGGCCGTCCATAAGAATGGATGGTCGTCATTAAGTATGGACGGCCGTCCATACTATCCTTTTTTTTTTCTTTTTT